TCAACTAGGGTGTTTGCGCTAACCGGGCAGGTCTCAGACCTCGCGTTCCCCAGGTTTAGAGAGTTTGACTCTGCGTCGGAAGCTACGAGTGCCCGCCTGAGATGACAGGAGCTTGGCGAGAGCCTCATTTTAACAAAGCTGTGATGCATCACACCTGGGCCACCTTGAAGCAAAATCCAAGTATTCGAGACGTATCTTGTGACGGACATGATCAAGAGACGTGCTTCCTGATAAATCCCCATCATCCAATAGATTGCGCTTTGCGACAACCACATCAACATCTGCCGAGTTGAAGCCAGCACCCCATCCGAGCGTGCATGGATAGCCTCCCCAAATTGAGCCGCCGCTGGATAAGCTTGTATTTCGGCAAATTTTGCCTCATCGAAAAGAACTAGAGCCTTGCCATCCAGAGTGCCGGTGACTTCACAAGCCAGGATGGCAAGGGCGATGGTGTCGCCGAGGCCAGTTCGTTTGGTGATGTGACGTCAGAGAGCCTCGTCAATCAAGTTCGGAGAGGCTCCGTCGTGCTAACCTCTCCTTCAGGCAATTGAGATGGCACCATCGCTTGCCACGCTGTGCGATGACTAGGACAAGCCGGTACTCGGCACCTGCAATTCTTTCTGTGCTCTTTCTTTTCTTGGGAAATGCTTGGAAGGACCGGTGGAAGCTGCACATGCCGGGAAGGTACCTTCTTACCACAACAGCAGCTGGTCCTTCCTCAGCTCAGCTCGGGTCGCTGCCTTATCGATATGTCGTGGTGCCCCGCTTATCCTGTCTCATCAGCCAACCGGTGTCTGCCGTTGACAAATGACGTCAAGACGAAAATAGAGCAGCAGCCCACCTGCCTTCCCACTCTGCCACCAGTGACGGCGTTGCTCTGACCAATTCCAATTTGGGTTCGGCTGCTCTTCCCTGCCACCGGCGCATCGAGCGCGGGGCTCTTGTTTTTTACGTTAATTTTGTTTGACAGCTGTTCCGATATTTGGTTTTTCTCTCGGCTCAGTGCGAATGCGGCAGGTCCAATGACTTTGGCCTAACGTCTGGCCAAAGCTATGCCACGAACAACTGGAGCACGCGAGCCTTTGCTGGGCTGAGAAACGCTGCAAATGCACGACGAAAAGCCCCGCCGCTGCTGTCACCCGTCACACTCACCCCTCCTTCAGCTGCGAACTGCGACCTGCGACCTGTCCCAATCCCTCTTGGAGTCCGAGTCTGTTCTCTCAGCAGAATGCCCAGCCACCAATTGCCATCGCCAATGGCCCTGGAGGAGGCGCAAGACGCGCGGCTTCGCATCCCGCCGGGGCAATCCGTACCACCCCTCGGGATCCTGCCCTACCGCACTCTGCCCTTTTGCCTTCCCAGTCTTGGCCCGATGGAGGGTGAGCTTCCAGGTTTGTGGCCCAGGTGGGAGCCTCTTGGTTGGTGGTGTTCCTGAGCACAGCGTGGCATCGAGGCCAGGGGCCAAGACCACCACCTTGGTCGAATCTTGCATCGGATCACCGCGGCTCTGTTTGGCCTGCTTCATATCGAGAGAGAAGCAAGCAGGCAATGCTTCCTCAAAACATGACAAGAATCGACCCAGCGGATCGTCAGATGCCCCGCCTCTAGCTCGTCAAATGGCACTCTAGCCTTGTCGCCAGCGTCGCCCTGTCTCACCACCAAAACCGTCCCGGTCCCAGCCCAGTCCCAGCGCCGCCCACACTTTTAGCCCTTCTGCGTGCCCTTCCAAAGTGGAATCCTGCTTTTCTTCCTTGCCTTGCTGCAGTCCGCTCCTCCTGCTTCCGGCCGAGCTATCTGACCTCACTCCCGCCCACCTGGACTAGACTCTCCGCCGTCCCCGTATGACATAGCCCTTTGGTTTCAAGCTTTCCCATAAGCTTTCGTCGCGCGCCCTCCTCCATTCCCTCTTCCGTCTTCCCGTCTTGTCTACTCTTCTCTGCCATCTCAAGCCTCACCCAAGCTCCAGCCCAAGCTTGCCGTTATCCCGTGTTGGCTGGAATGCAACGGCTTGCTCACTCCACCGCCCCTCGCTATACCCCGCGAACCCTGTGATACCCCTCCATACCAGTACGAATTCATGATCTAGACACTAGCCAACGCCCATTGATACCCGTTTGCCGCCGTTCTACCCGTCGCCAAGATGTTTACCACCGATCACAAGGACGACAACCCTGAAAATGAGAGCTTCTTCCACAAATTGAAGAAGCCCTTCCGCGAGCTCGAGGAGAAGCTCGAGGGAACCCACCTCCACGACGCCAAAGTCCACCTAACCCACAAGAAGCACCAAATCGGCAAGTTTGCCAACCTCGTAAGCTTCCATCCCCGTTTCGGCCTGCTCAATTCGCAAGCGCCAGGCACGAATTAACCCGTGCGCGCACCAGTTCAACGCGAACCACCGCCACGACGAGGAGCACGAAAAGGCGACCGACGACAAGCGAGCCAAGATCGCCGAGGAGCACCGCTTCAAGTCCTTCTTCCCCGAGCGCGACGGTAACCTCATCAAGTGGTATGTCGATGGCCGCAACTACTTCTGGGCCGTCTCCGAGGCCCTCGAGCAGGCCAAGGAGACAATTTACATTGCCGACTGGTGGCTGTCGCCCGAGCTGTTCCTCCGCCGCCCACCGCACTACAACCAGGAATGGAGACTGGACAAGGTCCTGAAGCGCCGCGCCGAGGCGGGAGTCAAGATCTTCATCATTGTATACCGTGAGGTTGAGGCTGCACTGACGTGCAACTCGGCGCACACCAAGCACGCCCTGCAGGCCCTCTGTCCCGAGGGTACCCCTGGCTATGGAAACATCAGAATCATGCGCCACCCTGACCATAACGTCTTTGAGAACGCCGCCGACATGACCTTTTACTGGGCCCATCACGAGAAGTTCATTGTCATTGACTATGCGATGGCTTTCATTGGAGGCCTCGATCTCTGCTTCGGTCGCTGGGATACTAACGACCACCCGCTTGCCGACGTGCACCCCGAAGGTGTGCAGAATGAGGTCTGGCCTGGCCAGGATTTCAACAACAACAGAATTATGGACTTCCAGAATGTGCAGGACTGGAAGCAGAATGAGCTGAGCAAGGCGCAGTACGGACGCATGCCATGGCACGACGTCTCAATGGGTGTCGTTGGACCCTGCGTCTACGATATTGCCGAGCACTTCGTCCTGCGCTGGAACTTTGTGAAGCGTGACAAGTACAAGCGCGACGAACGATTCGACTGGATCCAGCTTCAGAACCGGCTGGATGAGGATGAGGATCTTGTGGGAGTCCAGAGGCCTAAGCACCCGGTGGGCGACTACGTCACTCATCCTCTCAGCGACCTCAGCTCCAAGAATTTGGAAAACCGCGGCACCATGCATGCCCAGGTTGTCCGCTCAAGCGCCGACTGGTCCAGCGGTATCCTGACGGATCACTCCATCCAGAACGCCTACTCTGAGATCATCCGCAAGGCCGAGCACTTTGTCTACATTGAGAACCAGTTCTTCATCACGGCCACTGGAGACCAGCAATCGCCTATCCACAACACCATCGGCCGCGCTATTGTCGATGCAGTTGTCAGAGCTGGCAAGGAAAACCGCAAGTTCCGCGTCATCATTCTCATCCCTGCCATCCCCGGTTTCGCCGGTGACCTCCGTGACGATGCTGCTACCGGTACCCGTGCCATCATGGACTACCAATTCAAGTCGATTTGCCGTGGGGAGCACTCCATTTTTGAGCAGTGCCGAGCCCAAGGCGTCGACCCGAGGAACCACATCTTCTTTTTCAACCTGCGCTCGTACGATCGATTGAGCAGAACCTCGGCGGTCGAGAAGAGAGAGAAGGACACTGGCGTTAAGTATTTGGAGGTCCAACGCGCTCAGGCCGAGGAGGTCATGGGTGCTGGGATTCACGGCACCAAGGACCCAGTCGCGAACGAACGCGATACACACATGGGCTCCGTGAAGGACCAGTCTGCAAACGGGCGCCCTCAAGAGGCTAAAGACGCGCTGGATGCCAAGAAGAAGTTCGAGGCAAGCTTGGGCGAGGACGGACACAAGACCGTCTACTCAGTTGCTCATCATGCCATGGCCAACTCGGGCTCAATTGAGGAGGAAATCTGGGACGACGAGGACCCCGAGACTGAGATCCGCAACTGGATCCAGGAAGAGCTCTACATCCACTCCAAGTTGCTCATCGCCGATGATCGTATCGTGGTATGCGGTTCCAGCAACCTGAACGATCGCAGTCAGGTTGGCCACCACGACAGCGAGCTGAGTATCGTCATGGAGGACACAAAGCATGTGACCAGCACGATGAACGGCCAGCCGTACGAAGCGGGATGGCACGCAACATCCCTGCGACGCTATCTATGGCGCGAGCACCTCGGTCTCCTCCCTTCCCAGGAGTTGGACGGCAGCAAAGACATCAACGCACGGCCTCCCGGCAAGGACTCGCCCAACGACCCATGGGACCGCGACGACAGCTGGAAGTTTACCGAAGATCCCCTCAGTGACGAGTTGTGGGATATGTGGACGACGAGAGCCACCAAGAACACCGAGATGTTCAGGCACCTGTTCCACGCTGACCCCGATGACCACAGTAAGTACACGGAATCTATCACTCTCAAGGCAAATCTAACTCGGTCACAGTCAAAACCTTTGAGGACTACGACAGATACCTGCCTCCCAAGGGACTCAAGTCGGGCCACATTTTCGACCAGTTCATGCCCGCCGCTGACGCGCGAAAGAAGATCGACCAGATCAAGGGTCACCTCGTGTGGTTCCCGCTCGACTTCTTGCGAGACGCCGAGATGGCTGAGAAGGGTCTGCAAGTCAACCAGTTCACAGAGAGTGTGTACACGTAAAAGTCGCGGCTTTACACAGGGACAGATTTGGGAGGAAAGAGATGGACACAATATTACTACGACTTATGGCTTAATGTATAAATATGAGCGTCGGTTGACGCTTCGGCTGGTTCTTTGGAGCCATCAATGCAAAACAAATTTCTTCAAGAACTCGTCCTTAGTTTGGGAAAACTAAATGCTGCTTCTCAACATGAGCAGCCTTTGTCACCCCATCCAAACCCTCCACCATCCGAGCGATACTCTGATAACTAGGATAGAGTCGGCCCATCTCAATGCCAGCTTTGCATCCCCATCGGTAGAAGATATACAGGTTGAAGTCAACCACGGTCAAACCCTCACCCACAGCGAACTCCCTCCCCACCAACCTCTCATCAATCCTTGCATAACACTCATTGATGACCTCCTGCGCTCTCGCAACAACCTCGGCCTTCGCCTCCTCCCCGTGTACAAACCTCTCAGGCCGCAACACACCAGCGTAACCTAGGCTATGCAGCGTCCCCGAGAGCCAGCACACCCACTCGTACGCCTTGGCCCGCTGCACCGCCGTCCGGCCGAAGAGGTTCTGTTCCGGGACGAGGGAGGCGATGTAGGTGAGCACGGCGGGCATCTCTGTGATGACCGTTTCATCAACGACGAGACACGGGACGTAGCCCGTTGGGTTGATACGGCGGTACTCCTCGTGAGTGAGCGAGCCGTCGGCGGCGCGGTAGCGGCCTCCGATGCCGTCGGTGCCGCCTGGCGTGGGCTCCATCTCGACTGCGACGAAGGGGATGGCGAAGTGGGTTAGAATGCTGTGCGGGACGAGGGAGCAGGCACCGTTGGTGCGGTAGAGGATGATCTTGGGGATGGGCATTTTGGCGGCGTGTTTGATTTGGGATTGGTGAGGGTGGTTCAATGAGTTTTGGACTGGCATTCAGTATCATCTTTCCTCTCATAATTGCAGATTTTGACTTCTCTAAATACACATCAATACATCCTCAGCCATCGCCTGCACATTGCGCCCTTCACAAATCAAATTGTGACGAGATGATTTGTTGTTGAATAAGCTGGACGCAAATAAGATCCGTCGTGTCTTTGTACTACAAAACCCAAAGAGATGACAAAATCAGCAAGACGGAAAAAGGGTCCGACCCGGAAGGATCGTAGACTATTTTAGTTCCAGTTTACTTACAATAAAGGCGAGCTCTTCACCGAGAACTCACCGAGATCCTTACCGGCATCCCTCGGTGTATGCGGGGTAGCGGGGGAGCCCACACCGATCCCACACTGCACAGTGCCACTTTAGCCGCAACTGAGCGGAGGAGTCAACGGAACCCCTCCATTGACTCACTTTTTGGGTGAAATTTGGCCATAAGTCGACCACGCCGCACCCTCCACCGTCCGCCCCCGACGACCACGAATCCTCGATTACGAACGTTCACGAAGCGATCGGGCACTACTGCAGAAACAACAATGGCCTCCGCACCCGAAGCGCCGACCGCCGCGGTCCCCGTCGAGGCCGTGGAGCCTGCCGCCGCCAGCACCGGCGGACAGAAAGTCGATCCCTGGAACGTGTCCGGCGAGGTGGGCGAGGATGGAAAGGTCAAGGCGATTGACTACAAGGTATGCAACAACGTCTGCGGGAGTGTGTCGATTGGGCATTTTGTGCTCTTGTCGCGACTTCCGGCGGCTTCGTTCAACCGTCAATTGTCTGCAATGTCAGAAGCCAGCCAACTGACGAGGGGCCACGCGACAGAAAATCGTCGACGAGTTCGGCACGAAACTGATTGACGACGCCCTCCTCGAGCGCTTCGAGCGCGTCACCGGACACAAGCCGCACCACTTCCTGCGCCGCCAGATTGTCTTCTCCCACCGCGACCTCGACCTCATCCTCGACCGCTACGAGAAGAAGGAGCCCTTCTTTATCTACACTGGTTCGTTTGGAGCTTGGGGAAGACAAGGGAGGCAAATATGAGGAGGGGTAGTTGCTGACGAGGCGGTAGGCCGTGGACCGAGTTCCGACAGCATGCACATTGGACACGTCATCCCTTTCCAGTTGACAAAGTGGTTGTCGGATGTTCTTGATGCGCCGCTGGTGGTATGTTGTACTCCTGTTCTTGAGGATTGGAATTGGTTACTGACGTGGGGCAGATTATGATGACTGATGGTACGAGGTCCAATGGCTAGCGAGGGAAGTTGTCTAACTCTGTGTGTAGACGAGAAGTTCCTGTTCTCTGAGAAGAGGACAGTCGAGGAGGTCATGCACTACACGAGAGAGAACGCCAAGGACATGTGAGACGGAAAGCCATCTTCTCCTCGTACGGACACTGATAGCAACAGCATCGCCATCGGCTTCAACCCCGAGCGCACCTTCATCTTCTCCGACTACGACTACATGGGCGGCGCCTTCTACAAGAACATCACCCGCGTCGCCAAGCGCATCACCGTCAACACTGCAAAGGCCGTCTTCGGCTTCGACGACTCCTCCAACATCGGCAAGGTTCACTTCGCCTCCATCCAGGCCTCCTCGTCCTTCGCCAACTCCTTCCCTCACATCTTCGGTGACGACGAGGCGCGCACCACCCAGATCCCCTGCCTGATCCCCTGCGCCATCGACCAGGACCCCTACTTTCGCGTCACCAGAGACTGCGCCGCCGGCCTGCGCTACGCTAAGCCCTCGCTCGTGCACTCCCGCTTCCTCGACGCCCTGCAGGGCCCCGGGTCCAAGATGTCCGCGTCGATCGAGAGCAGCGCCATCTTCATGAAGGACACGCCCAAGCAGATCCAGAACAAGATGAACAAGTACGCCTTCAGCGGTGGCAAGGTCACGGCTGAGGAGCAGCGTGCCGAGGGCGCTGACCCCGATGGTTTGCTCCACCCTCCCCATTTTCCGTAACCTTGTGTCTAACAGAAACCGCAGTCGATGTCTCCTACCAATACCTCCGCTTCTTCCTCGAAGACGACGCCGAGCTCGCCCAGATCCGCGAGGACTACCGCACCGGCAAGATGCTCACGGGCGAGATCAAGAAGCGCTGCGCCGAGGAGCTGGCCAAGTACTGCACCGCCTTCCAGGAGCGCCGCGCCAAGGTCAACGAGGACACGGTGGACCTCTTCATGGCGCGCCGGCCGCTGGTCTGGGCCGGGGCTGAGAGCCTCAAGAGCCTGCCCATCCGCCCTGCGGAGGGTGCTGGTGCGCCCGCGGAAGGCAGCGACGGCAAGATGACCAAGAACCAGCTCAAGAAGCTTGAGAAGCAGAAGCAGATTGAGGAGAAGAAGGCGAAGAAGGCGCAGGAGAAGGAGGCTGCCAAGGCGACTGCCGAGGGGGCGTAGAAGTGAGAGATTAAACGGTTAGAAGGTGCAAAATATACCCAACAAGATTTGAGTTCTTGCGAGTTTGGTTCTTGGATTGTGATTTTGATCTTGCAGCTCTTTAGAATGTCAGATGACGCATCTTGACACTCGAAGGATCACGTTCCCAGTCACTTACAAGCCAACCCTCCTACAATTACAACAGTACGGACGTCTCTGCAAAATCGCCGACGCATATCATCGTAGGCGTTAAGATTCGTCCGTCGGCGTTTAGCCATCTCACCCCGGATCGCCGATGAGACGTCCGTCACGGTGTAAGTCGTGTATGACAATGCATAAGAGCAGTGAGTTACTGTAAGACAAGATACCTTCTCTGCCTGAATCCGGTTGCAAGTGCCCTATATAAATATAGCCCGTATGATAGGTGGTCAGAACATGAAATAATCTCGTCTTCGCAGCATCCACCTTGAACCACGACCACGACCATCAAAACACCACAGCAATGTCTCTCAAAGGCAAAGTCGCAATCGTCACAGGCGCCTCCCGCGGTCTCGGAGCCGGCATGGCCCTCGAACTCGCTCAAAAAGGCGCATCCGTAAGCTTCCCCCTTCCCATATCCCTCATCATCACTCACCAAAACACCAGGTAATGCTCCTCTACACCTCCGACTCCAGCACCCCCAAAGTCACCGCCCTCCTCGCCCAAATCGCATCCCTTCCACACTCTCCCCCCGCCACATCCTGCCAAGCAGATCTCTGCCTCCCCTCTGCCCCGTCCACCGCCGTCGCCGCGCTCGCCGCCTGGCCCGCAGCCTCAGGCAAACTCGACATCCTAGTCAACAACGCCGGCACCGAGCTCAACGCCCCTCTCGGCTCCATCACGCCGTCCGACTTCGCCGCCGTCTACGACCTTAACGTCCGCGCCCCACTCCTCCTCACCCAAGCCCTGCTGCCGCACCTTAACCCGCCCGCGCGCATCATCAACATCTCCTCCGTCGGGGCGCGCGCGGGATTCGCTGGGCTGGGGCTGTACTGCTCGTCTAAGGCGGCGCTGGAGGGGTTGACGCGGTGCTGGGCTAGGGAGTTAGGGGGCAACGGCACGACGGTGAATTGTGTGGCGCCCGGGCCGGTGCAGAGCGACATGCTGGAGAATATACCGAGGGAGATTGTGGAGATGCAGATGGCGCAGACGCCGGTGGAGGGGAGGGTGGGCAGCGTGGAGGAGGTGGCGAGGATCGTGGGATGGTTGGCGGGGGAGGAGGCGGCGTGGGTTAGTGGGCAGGTTGTGAGTGCTAGTGGGGGGTGGGCGATGTATTGAGGTTTATGTTTTGAGGCTGGTGGTGTAGCACACACAAGATTGTTGCTTGTCTTGCGTGACTACGACGGCAAAGCCTCGTTGGTTGGGACTGGAGGAGAAAATTTTACTCTATTTGGGCAAGGTGCGTGAAGCATTAATGAGATACCATGTGGGCGAAGGAAAGTTGGCTACGTTCGTGGTGGGATTCCTGACAATGTGTGGATTCCTGACGCCAGGCCTTTGGTGAGAAACCACGAGTTCGCTCTATAGTTCACTGCCCTGACATGGCGATAATGGCAATTCAGGTATAAAGGCCAGACGTTGTAGAGAGTGTAAGCCTTTTAGTCTCTCTCCCTCAGAGTCCTAACAGTAATCCCATTGTAGACAAAGCAGATGATAGCCATAGAATCTCAGCTATTCAGATTACAAGCTACCATGTTGATCAATATGGCCAGACAAAGATTTGCATAACTACAAATAACCACACCTAATACGCTCTCAGAGAAGAAACTGACGAAGAACGAAATTCATGTTCAACGTTTCGTGAACAAGCATACAGTCGCGCATTGCTGCTCAGGAGCACTTAAACACAAGGTTGCTCATTGTAGCCTGATGCATATGCACCACCGCGAGAATACAATCCTTTGCGTCTGGCATGTCTTGTGATTGAGTTTATTTCGTACGTTACTAATATGATGATCAGGGCGTTACGCATAAGGAGGGCAGATGGCTGGGAAAGTCAGACATTCAAAGAGCTGGACAAGGTGGCTGTATTGAGCCAGTTCACCTGGAAAATTGCAAAAGCCCCAGCATCCAAAGATGTTCATTTCTGGGGGAAGTTGAACGTAAAAGTCGTACTGACAACTCCTGTCTCAGTTAGAAGGCAAACCAAAGCAGCCCTGGAGCGAATCGGTAAGGACTCATGATATATTTTGTTCCAGTCAAAGCTCAAATTTATAAAGCGATTTGATTTCATGTCGCATTGCTTAGATAGCCAGGCAGTGATGTTCTTCCGCGATATGATGTTATGAAGCGCCAAGAATCGTTTACTGTGTGTCTAAAGCTTGCGAGAAGACTGGCTTGAAATAGTTCTCATACCTTGGAAAGTATTGGAACACCGGCACTGATCATTTTCGCCCGTTTATTCTTTTAGTGACGATTTTCTGCTTTTTTTCATCAAATTTTAGGGGTATTGAATGCGTCTAACAGTGCAAGTAATAAGGTTTGGCCAGCCATTCAGAAGTTTACAAAGGCGTTAGATGTCCGCCGTAAATTTCCTGGGTTTGAAAATACAGTCCACGATGTCTCTGTTACGCAACAGCAGATTAGATCAAATTCAAACGCTGAGTTTTAACTTCAGAATAGTTGCTGAGCCTCAAAGCAACTGTATCTTCAATCTCTTAAGCATTCAGCCGGAAGTAATAAGGGGAAGAGGCTATGGCGGAAATCAATGAAACCTGGAAGGCGGTTAGCCATGAGGCATTCGAGGCTGCACACACCCACGTCGTGCCAAAGTTGGAAGAGTCTCGATATGTTGTGCTAATACCTGACACCAAGAAGCCGTACATTCGCACGGGCGGTTCAAGATAAACGACAAAGCCTCATGGCCCTTGAGTAGTCGTAATTCAGACACAGTCGGTCCTGTTCTCGGCATATAAAATCTCTTGTAGCACGAAGGAGAGCATGAACCAGACTCTTGTCAGCTTTCTTACCCGTGAGGGGAGCTCTGTTCTTCGCGAGACTGGCAGGATGACAGCTGACAAAGTCTATGTCTCTTTCCTGGCTATTTGTTTTCTCGGGAGCCTCCCGTCACCTTGTCTGAGGTATCAATCCGAAGTTGGCGTCAGTGTTAAGGGCTGAAGATCATGGCGCTGATTGTTCCAATACGACCTGATGAAAAGAGTTCAGGAATCAGGCTTGATGGCGAGACGTCTAGTATTCCGAGGGAGACTGGGTTGTTGCGGCTGCTGTTGAGGCAGCTTGTGTTACTCAGCTTGTGGTATTTGTTACAGATCCGCAGCTCGATGTCCTTCTTTGCGTTGAAGACGCTAGGGCAGCTTTCCTTAAGGTATATTTATAAAAAGGCCGGTTTCATAATTCCCCCGAACTTTCAACTCACCGCAATACTTCCTGTCTGAACACGTGCATAATTGCGTCGAAGTTTTCACTTAGAGGAATAACATACATCATTCATCTCGTCATGCAAATCCTAAATGAAGCATACTGAATTAAAGGCATACTATGATCCTTTTTAGGGCATTTTGAAGAATACTCTGGAGAGGGAAATAGTGCACAAAAGCGGGAACATATCTGGAAACAACATAAAACATATACTTATTTATTACTCTGCACGAACACTAGAACATGAGCGGACTTTCGTGCTATATCCTAGAGATAATTGTATTGTCTGCGTTATAGATACCTTCCATCTTAACAGGATGCTTTTCTATTAATCTGCCGTCTGAGATACATCTATTCTTAATGTGAAGCGCAGGTATAAAAGGTGTCCCATCATCATATCATTCAAGATTTGTTGCTAAGAATAATACTGATACTTAAGCGGAGGTCATTAAGCTGTATGCTTACCGTTATTAATAGGTCTTGGATTTTCAGTCTTCAGAGGAATATCAGTTGTACGCATTGCCCAGCCTTAGGTCCTGATGTTGTGTATGTGATCTTGAATGTTCTTTCTGAGACTTGATGCCCATCATTTTCCGTCTCTTTCGTCATCCTACAAGTATTCAAGGCATTATGGTTCGACATATAGAGTCTCACGCAGCCAAAGAGCGACGTACTCTGAGTCGACGGTAGCACTTGTGTTGCTTTATGTTCGAAGTCTGTCCAACGATTTTGTCCACTCAGAGATGCTGTAACGCTACTGTGGCAGAAGACACTGTAGCATTCCTCAAGGGCTTTGCTTTATAGTCAGATTGTCAAGCTTGCTTGGAAAAGTCCCAAGTAATCAAATAGCCATCTTGGAATGAAGGGCCCCAGAACAGGCTGAGCACTACACATGAATACTGGCGTGATTCAACAGAACAAACTAGAGGCAGAGAAGAAAACGAACGCCCGCAACCCATTCATAGAAGTTCAGACATAGAATCTCAGGACAGGTTTATGTCACGGCAGCGATGGGAAGGCTTTTGCAAGCAAACGAAGAGATGAACATTGGTACAGAACCAGGAAGTTCGAAGCGTTCGATTGCCTTGTCCAAAACCAAAGACGAACGACTGTCGGGGCGAACAATTGAATTGAAGCCTAGAATTGGTTCGGCGCCTTCAATGAAGCATGGCCTGAAGACAAGCACATCGTGGAGGCATGTAAAGCATACCTGAATTGTGTATAAAAGGAGGGCCGCCGTGAGATTCAAATGGGCTTCCACGCGGAGCAATTAGCCAGTCAGAAACGACATCTTCATCGTGTGCAATGATTGAGCGGATGTTTGGCCTTGCAACACTTCCAAAATTACTTGTTGCAAGTTGTTGTAACTTCAATGCTGTCTTCCCCTTGCTGTCCATATCCATCCTGTCCGAGGTATTGTGGAAGAATAATGCTGCACCATGCATTCATCGAGCGCTGGTGCCTGTCCGGTGACTCAGGTCAACGGCGTAGGAAACAGAAGCGGCTATAAATGACAGACTATAGAAATGATCGCAATCTCCTGGAGGAGATCATTGGCAAAGCAGCCGTCAGGATCGCTCCGTGTCGGCCAATATAAATATGTACCTAGGCTCCCTGTTCCATGTACTGCTGTGCGGGACCTGTCACGGAAGCCCTCCTGAATGTCACTGTTATTCATGCCAAGAGACTCCGGATCTGCGATTACAGCTACACCTACGCCATCTGCACATTACCTCTGAAAACGAGGCTGTAATATATTACATCCCGTCCGATACTGTATTAGATGCGGTCTCTCAACATCTCAGAGCGGTTAAATATTATTCTAGATAGTGGGAGTAAACGGGACAACAACATCGGCGCCCTGGCGTCACCTTCTAATGCCTTCGCCAGCACCTATGCAAGGGTTCATTTACCCTGATTGAAGTTCATGCTGTAGCCACCGGTGGCCTCGTCCTTGACCATCTGAAAGTTGTCGGTGCTGAGCCCAAACGGCTTGAGAATGCCGTTACCCAACTGCATCCCGGTTAGCCTCGTTCACAATCTGGAGCCATCAACACTTACGTCCTTGAGCTTCCCCCACATCTCCGCTGTCTCCTTCTCCTGTGCGGCCTTCGTCCTCGGCGGCAGCACCCTCAGCTGCGTCTGCACAATCTTCCGATCCGCAGGCGCCAGATTCGTCATCCTGGAAAGCGCCTTGTAATCCTCCTCGGCGCCCGCCAGGTTCTGCCACCCGCCCTCCTCGCTCCGCGCCCGCGCCCGCCTCATCAGCGCCTTGGCCCGGATCCGCAGCACATCCTCCTGGCGCTTCTTCCTCGCGGCCTCCTCGGGGTCGTCAGCCCCCACCGGCGCGGGGGCGGCCTTGCTCGCGCCGGAGCTGACAATCTCCTCCTCGACGTCCTCCTCCTCGGCGCGTTCCTTCTCGCGGCGCTCCTGCTCGAGGGCAGCCTCCCTGTCGATCCTGTCGAGGCCGTCGAGGGCGGCGGTGGCGCTGGAGATGGCGTCTTTCCACTGCTCGAGCTTGAGGTGGCAGGCGGAGATGTTGGAGCGCAGGACGGCGAGGTCGTAGTCGAGGTAGTTGGGGCAGACGGCGACTGCCTCGTCGTACTTGTTGATGGCGGCCTCGTATTTTGAGGAGGCGAAGAGGGCGTTTGCTTCCGCCTTGTTTGCGTTGGCCTCGGCGAGGAGGGACTGGGGGTGTTAGCTGAGATGTTCACGAGGTTGGATGAGTGTCTGAAGTTTACCGCCTCCTCTTCAGGTGAGAACTTCTCAATTTTTTCCTCCTCGTCCTCCTTTTCGACCGTCTTGCCCTTGTCCTGGGCCTTGGCCTCAGCTTCCTTTGGCGGCATCCTGGAATATTCTCACCCGTGTGGCTGGCTCGTGAGGGCGAGAAGTGCTGAGTGAGAGAGGCCGGTTTTAGGCGGAGTACAGCGACAGAAAGAAGACGGTGGAAATGTCGTCACTGTCTCGCCGGATCTCCACGTGGAACGGGGCGTTGGACGTTGGAACCAGTGGGGGCAGCACACTGAGGCTGTTCACATGTTTTGGGGCGCAACCAGCCACTAAAATCGACCCCTCTGTCAGCGGCCCTTCTGGAATCTCAGCAGCTCAGCCTTTGGGGAACGGGGCGCCGTACCCGCTGTCTCGCGGGATCTTTTAGCGAATGAAGTCGCCAGATGGTGGCAGGTGGACAGTGTGCGCCGGCGCATAGACTGTGTCTCTCACGAAGAAGTCAAGAATAGTGTTGTCTCATTGCAGTTTTCTTCAATTTTAACATAGAAAGCTTGAGTGATTCTAATTTTGAATTCAAGTGTGACATGAGGAAGGGAGGAAAATAATAAATGCACTCAAGAAAATAAAGGTAAGAGCAGAGTGACACAGCGCAGTTGCTGCATCTGCATCCATCTGCCCCACTTTGGTCCCTTTGGCGATTCATATTTTTTTTTTAGGAAAGAGCTGGGTGGGCTGGATTCAATTGACCCCTCCATCCTCCATTGTCGGTGCCTTCCGTCCCGCTCCTCACCCCGCTGTTCCTTCCTGCCGGCCCTGGACCTGACCTGCACCCGCACCTGCCTTTGTGACTCTCCATTGTTCCCGGTGCCTGCCTTCCTCAATTCACCGTTGCGCCCTTTCCCAGAGAAGGAACCAAACAAACGGCCTCCTCAGATTTTTTTTTATCCAGCCTCACCTCACCTTCTTCCACTACAAAAACCCCCACCTCCAACCCAAACCCACCACAACTTCTTCCTGCTCCTACCCCTCCATCACCAACAACTTCCTTTCGCGCGACAACAATCCGCCTTCCATCTTCCACCTCGCGCAACCCAATTGCACTCCTCCGTCTCTTCTCTCTACCTTCACGCACCTTCACATTCACAAAAGCCTTCCTCAACCGTCACAATGGCTCCCCGCACCGAGTAAGTCCCATCTCCCTCCTGCGCGCGCTCCTCCCCTACCCATCCTTTGCGATCCGCGACAATGGCAATGGCTGACATCCCCTCCCCTCCAGCTTCCCTCCCATCCGGGCCTGCCTCTTCGACATGGACGGCCTCCTCCTCGACACCGAGGACCTCTACACGGCCTGCATCAACATCATCCTCGAGCAGCAGGGCCGCCCCCTCCTCCCCTGGTCCATCAAGGCCAAGCTCCAGGGCCGCCCCGGCCCCGACGCCACCCGCCTCTTCCACGAGTGGGCTCAGCTCTCCATCTCCGAGCAGGAGTACCACCAGCAGCTCTCCGCCCTCCAGCGCCAGATCTTCCCCACCACCAAGCCCCTCCCCGGCGTCCCGGCCCTGCTCGCCAACCTCGGCCGCACCCGCTACTGGGACCTCAAGCCCGCCTCCGCCTCCAACGGCGCCGACAAGGAGAACCCCCACCGCGTCCACATCGCCCTCGCCACCTCCTCCCACCTCGCCAACTTCAAGCTCAAGTCCGACCACCTCACCGAGCTCTTCTCCATCTTCCCCTCCCACCGCCGCGTCCTCGGCGACGACAAGCGCATCGCCCCCGGCCGCGGCAAGCCCAACCCGGACATCTTCCTCCTCGCCCTCAAGACCATCAACGACTCCCTCCCCGCCGGCGAGACGCCCATCACCCCCGAGGAGTGCCTCGTCTTCGAGGACTCCGTCCCCGGCGTCGAGGCCGGCCGCCGCGCCGGCATGCGCGTCGTCTGGTGCCCCCACAAGATGCTCCTCAACGAGTACAAGGGCCGCGAGAAGGACGTCCTCGCCGGCCGCACCGGCGAGGCCGGCCAGGTCGACATGCACCAGGTCGGCGAGGTCGACGACGGCTGGGCCGAGTACATGGACACCCTCGAGAACTTCCCCTACGACAAGTTCGGCATCACCATCCCCCCCGTCGAGGTCGACGACGAGCCCTTCATGAAGGAGAACGTCGGCGAGGTCCTCGTCGAGAAGGCCAACGGCTCTGCTTAGATTCGCTTTGCGCAACATTCTTCATCCAACGAATACCAGGACTCTGGCAAGATCTGGCTTGGCATAGCAACAACATGGCAGGCTTGGGTCACCGCCGTCTTGGCTCGACTTTTTCCTACTTCTTTCCTTTTTGAGCAAGCTTTTTTTTTTTTACGAGAAAACGGCATTAGACAGGGCACGGATTACGATGATAATGGGGCGAATGAAAGACAGAAGGTCTGGCATGGGATTTCCAATAGAGAAGAGGATTCTGGGAAAGGGAACCACTTTTTTTCTTCATAGACTTGGCTTCTTCGATCACGATCAAGGACGAAAAAAGCATTTGGCATTGCGATAGAATTCTCCCAGTGGATTAGAGAAAGCAGGCACGAGAAAGAACCAAGCCCACCCGCATCCGAATGATACCACAAGATATATGCATACAAAATAAACAAAGACCCTTTCTGCCTAGATTTTCGTGAAAAAGACAGTAGCAAACAAACACAGCCCCGGGTCCCTTTTGTCATTCGAATTTGATGACATGAAAACGAATCCTGATGGTATCGATGCCCCTTTGGAGCATTGTTCCTCCTCCCTCCATCCCTTAGTATGCCGGAGCGAAAGTCCACAGCTCACTCCTCAAGAGCATATCTTTCCTCCCCATTGTCCAGTTTGCCGGAACGCCAGATGCTACGATTGAGGGGATTCCTTTTAGATTCCGCCCCGTAGGAGATAAAAATCTCATCCACACCGCCCCCCTTTTTCGCCGCAATGATGCCGGCCGTCCTGTAAAGCCGTATCCCCCGCCTTTGTAAAAAAAAAGAAGAAGCCTGTATGGAGATGTAGAAGATGGAATGAGTGGTAGAGAGGTCGGGAAAAGACGAGCGGTTGAAGATAAAATGTGTGGTGGGCTTCGGCCGTGATCATGAACCAGGCATCCAGTGCCGTTTTTGTAGTTTAGTATACTTGTCATCCGCAGGTTGAAATGTGAGATCCCGCTCGTCTTTTCCGCGTCGCTCTCCAAGAAGATTATGTAGATATAAAAAGGGTTAGACACGCCCTGGGGTCGGGTTGTTGCCTTGTGTAAATAAAGATGCGCTGGAAGAGAAAGGTAAGCAAGAAAAGGAAAACCCCAATCAGAGGAAGGTCTGCGAGCTGTACGAGTTGGACCGGTTCGGCGGCTCGTACCAGTTCTGGTACGGGTGATTCGGCAGCGAAAAGTCCGCGAAGCTGAGCGGGTTCACGAGCGCCTTCATCGGCGCCGCGGGCGGCTGGCTGCTCGCCGCCGTCATCGCGGGCGGTGCGCCGCCGCTCGTGCTGCTCGCGTAGTACTTCCCGCCGCCGCCGCTTCCTCCTCTGGGGTCCGGGTGCGCCATGACGGGCGTGCTGCCCCCCGCGGGCGAGGGCCAGCCCCACGACTTCTTGAGCTCCGAGTGGATCTTGCCGAGGCGCCAGCCGGAGGCGGCGTGGATCTTGTCGAGGATCTCGAGGACCTCTTCCTGCTCGCGCGGGTCGGTGAGCACGGCGGAGGCGATGGCGAGGGAGCGGATGGCGACGGAGGCGACGCCGCGGTCCTTTGTGTGCGCGACGATGCCGCAGACCTGGTGCGCGTGGTGCAGCTGCAGGGCGCGCATTTCCTCCGAGGCCTTGCCGGGCTCCATGGGGTTGGTTTGCGCGAGGAGGCATTGGGCGGTGTGGTAGAAGAGGCGGCCGATGATGGCGGCGCGTTTGATGAGCCTGGAAGAGTGGGTGTTAGTACATGGGTTAGTTAGAGGAGGGGAGGGGCAGATACGCACCAGACGTTGGGGAAGGCAGACTTGGAGTTGGTCTGCGAGGGGTAGAGGTAGCCGAAGGGGTGCATCGTGCGCGGGCACGCGTTGTTCCACTTGTCGCACAGCCGCTTGAGGTCCTGCCACTGCGCGAGCCGGTTGCCGAGGCGGATCTGCTCGTCGTGCGGGCTCGGCTCCTGGAAGCGCGGGATCGTGGCGCGGAAGTTGGCGATCTTGGCCACGATGTACAGGATGCGATGGACCCACAGCTCCTCCGATCCGAAGCCGTCGCCCGACGCTGCCGCGGCAGCAGTCGCAGCACCGGCACCGTTGCTCTCGGCGGCGAAGTCCACGTCCAGCCCCCACGAGTCCGGGTCCCACGATGTCTGCCAGTTGAAGGCCAGACAGGAAAGCACCTCCATGCCGATGTTGAGCCAGAAGCACGCCGCCCCAATACCGCTGGAGCGCGCGTCCCACTTGCACTCGCGGATCAGCGCGCGGGCGCCGGCGATGTGGTTCATGCGCTGGGCGGGCTTCTCGGACATGATCTCGTAGACGTTGAGGACGACGGCGGTGGTGGCGCACTCGCCGGTGTTGCGGTCGGGGTTCTGCAGCGAGCGCAGCAGCTGGGTGGTGGCGGTGTCGTAGTAGAAGAGGGCCTTGTCGTCCTGGTAGGCCGGGTTGACGAGGGTGAGGTGCTTGACGCCGCAGGCGAGGAAGGCGTTGAGCAGCATGGGGGACTTGAGGGCGTGGTAGGGGATGAGGCGGGAGAAGTGTTTTTCTTTGTCGAGCGAGTCCATCCAGACGCCGACCTCCTCGACGAAGACCTGCATGTAGAGGATCTCCTCGGGCGAGTTGAGGTACTCGCGCTCGCCGGCGGTGGCCTTCTCGCTGGGCGGCGGGGTCATCATGCCGTCGGGCGCGAGGGCGTTGGCGCCGTTGGCGGCATTGGGGCCGGCGGCGGCGCTGTGTCGGTAGGACGGCGGCGGGGCGGTTGGTTGCGGGACGATGGACGCGGCGGAGGAGGCGTCGCTGTCGCGGTGGGTGTGGGAGCGAGAGTGCGAGTGGTGGTGAGAGTGGGAGTGGTGGGCGTTGTCGCGGAGGGCGGCGAAGTGCTCGTAGCCGGCGTACGGGTGAGGGCCCGGGTGCGCCGAGTTCTGGGGGGTGAGGTAGGCGGTGGCGGACTCGCTCTCGCGGCGGTGAGGAGGGTAGTCTGCGGCGCGAGGGGGCTCCGGGGGCCGATGGGCGGCGTGTGGCGGGTAGGGGGCGTAGGAGGGCGGCAGCGAGGGCGGCGGCGGGTGGTGTTGGAGGTGAGTCCGGGGGGAGACGGAGGCGTCCGGGCCCGGGGCGGCGCGGGCGTGGGGGAGGAGGTGGCTCTGGTGCCGGAGGGTCTGCTCTAGATGGCTCGGCTCAGGCCGGGGGGCGGCGGCGACGGCGACCTTGTCGAGGTGCGCGTACCGGCCGAGTCCGCCGACGTATTCTGAGGCGATTTGCCTTGACTCATCTTGGAATTGCACTGTGGGTTGAGTCGCGTTAGCCTGTGTCTGCCATGAAGCTTACGATTCCCTCACACCACCCCGAGTGAGGTGAGGGGATCGGCTGTGGGGTGAGTGAGAGGTAAGATGGGGGTTCCGAACTTACCCGACCACTCGACGGTGGGAGGCATGTAGGGCGGTTTCTTGACCTGGACGTCTATGAAGTTGAGCCGCACGCCGCGTTTGCATTCTCGATTGCTCTTGCGACAATTTAGACAGTCTGGTAAGCCTTCGTCACATTTTAGATGCCGTTCCCTACACGTTAGACAGCCCGTCCGTACTCGTTTGGACTTTGTGGCGGTCGCGGCAGCGGCGGCGGCGGATTTCTCGGGGGACTTTGCGGCGACGACGAGGTCGCGCGAGGGGGTGAGGGAGTGGATGCTCGCGCTGCGGCGGGGCGGGATGTGGGAGCTGGGCAAATTCATGGTGTCGTATGTTTGGTGGTGGTGATGGGAAGAGTACTGGTGGTTTTGGTGGTCTTGGTGGTGGTGATGGGAAGAGTACTGGTGGTTTTGGTGGTCTTGGTGGTGGTGGTGGTGATGGTGCTTGAGATAAGAAGACTGCTGCTGTTGCTGGTGGTGGTGGAGTGGTGCTGCTACTTCGTTGCCGAGGCTAAAGTCGGTGGTGAAGTCGGAGGAGAAGCCAAAGGAGAGAGAAGAGACCTGGTCGTCGTTGTCGTCAATGTCCTGGGGGCCGTCGAGGTACGGGTCGTGGACAAAGTCGAGGGGCGGATGATGCTCAAAGGGGTGCAGCACCGCCGGACCAAGGCCAAAGCCTGGCACGAGGACGCCTGCAGAGGCGTCGTATGCCTCCAGGGCTACCGAAAGGCCCGTCTCTGGTGAGTAGAGACGGTGGGGGGATTCAACGAGGGCTGGGGACACCCAACGGCTTGGGCGACGTGGAGGGCGATGCGGGCGTCGTTGTGGGCATTAACTTGGTGGAGGCTGAGAGGTGAGTTTGCCGTCGGAAGGAGAGAGAGCGAGAGACTCTGACTCGTCGCTATCGTCGTCGTGATGGTCGTCGTTGTCGAGGTCGCTGTCGTCGGGTCACTCACGATGAGAGTGAGTGTGCGTGTGTGAGAGAGAAAGAAAGCGGATGCGCGCGCGCGAGCGGGGGGCCGATGTGCGAATGAGCGGCGAGAATGATCCGCTGTGCTGTTTGCTGATTGAAGGACGGGCTGCTGGCTCAATGGCGGGCAACTGACTGGGAACACTGATCCCGTTGCGTGAGAGACGTCGTCGTCGGGTGGTGATGAGATGCCAGATGCGGCTTGTCGATGAAATGGGATGCGCAAGCGATGAGTTTCCCTCCTCTCAATGCGGTCGCTGCTGTGCTGTCGTCGTCGTTGAAGTCTTCTTCGTCGTCGTCGTCGGGGGCGCGATCGGAGAGCGACACAGATTCACTCACAGGGGGCGGATGCGTTGCGGATGCGGTGCGCGCGATGTCGGTTGTCGGTGAGAAGCGGAGAAGAAACGGTTGGTTGGTTGGTTGGTTTTAGTGAGCGAAAAGGCGAGTCGAGATGCAAAGTGCAGTGGGAGGGAGAAAAATGAAAAGTCACAAGCTTCCGCGCTGGATGGAGTAAGGTGAGGTAAGTCGAGACCAGACACCAGAAAGCAGAAAGCAGTAGCTGGATGGATGGATGGAGGGAAAGACTGAGCGGCAGTGGCCCAGATTGACTTGACTAGCGCAAGATGGCCGAGGCGTGTGGTAGTGTGTACTAAGTAGTCTTTGTGTGTGTGTGTGTGTGTGTGTCCAGTGGGTGTCTCCAGTGGGTGTCTCCAGTTGTTGTAGGCAGTGTGTGTGCTGCTGAGAGTGAGTGTGGTGGCCCGTCCTGGGAGGTACCCTCTTCCAGGCCTTGGCCCTTGGTTTGGTTGGTGGCTATGTCTTGAAGGTAAGGTACTTTGCTGTAGGATGTAGGTAATGGATGTACCTCTTCCCGACGAGGACAAGGACGAGGGAGGGGGTGAGCCTTGGTCCGTTCTCGAGGCCGCTAAAGGCACCGTTTACACATGCAGGAATCCCGGCCGGGGGAGGTGTGGGTAGAGACCGAGAGCATGTACCTTCTTCTGTACCCAACACAACAGAGTTCCTCCTGTTCTCTTTTCGGATGTGTCCATGTATCGTCTTCTCGTTGTATGTGTGTGTGCATGTGTTATGTGCTGTGTGCTGTGTATTGTGTGTCCCTTGTAATTCAGGTAACAACCAGACGAGATGGACGCAAAGGGAAGAAAAGACGAAGAAGACTGCTGTTGCGTCGAGTGTGTGATGTCGGGAGTTTGTGTGGTGGGTGCTAGAAGTGGTGGTGCGCACCCGTCTTCTATCTCCGCGGTTGATGGCGGGGATGTGATGTCCAGGCAGATGCAGCAGTATTAGGCGAGGAACGGAACGACGGCAGAGAGAGAGAGAGTCAAGAGAGAAGAACATGAGAACCGTGAACGGCTCGCGTGTTAATATGGAGCAGAAGAAAGCGCCAAAGACGATGGATCTGTCTGTCCATCTCTCGGCCGCGCGGATTCCCTCCCCCCAGGTCAGGTTCAGGGGTCTGCTGCTTCTGGGGTTATGGATGTGAGCAAGACACCGAGCATCAGAGAGGGCCAAGACACGTCTTGCTGCTCGAGAGTACACGGAATAAGTGTACGTGTATATGTCGCAGACAGCAAGAGATGTGATGCAGAACTGGTACACGGCCGCCAGGATGAACGTCCTCTGCTTCTCGATGTTATCGTCGAGTCTTCATGTGGACAGCAGTGCAAATGTTCGGGCGTGGAAAACAAAGTCGTCCAAGATTCAAATTCCAGGAAAAGCATTCAGCCAATGCCGGTTCTCGGGCGGCAGCGGGTAGACCAGCGGTCACCAACCGATGGACGTCGTCGGAATTGAGTGAGTCCAGAACTTTTTTTAACAACCAGGCACGCAGCACGCAGCAGCAACGGAACAGCAGATCAGGGCAGGCAGGCCAGACAGATCCAAGGTCGGGTCGAGCTCGGGTCCTTTTTTGAGGCGACGACGGGGCGTGTCCCTCGTCCCTTGCACCCTCAGTCTTCCTCAGCGCCTTTCAGGTCGTCGTCAGGTACCTCTCCAGGGGGATGGATGGATGGCAGACGGGCGCGCATGTGGGGAGGCTGAAGAATTGGCAAAGAGGATGGGGAAAAGGGAAACGAGGCGCCGATGGCGGGTGACATAGGGAGGGATAGATCGGCAACGACAGCGTCGCTTGCCGCAACTCTACGGGTGCGAGAGCGACTGAAGAAACTCTGAACGGCTGAGAGGCACAGAGGGAAGGAGATTCCGGGGGCCAAGGTTGAGGCGACGGCGTTGCGAGGAATGATGGGGTGTAGTTGTGGGCGTTGTGGGTGTCTGTGTGGCTGTGAGCAGAGAAAAAAGGGGAGACAGAGAGAGGGCGGAAGATACCTCTTGAGACTCACTCACACACACACTTGTGCTGTGGAAGGACGAGAAGAGAGAGTGAGTGATGCAACCACACAGGGGCGTGATCGCAGCAGACGGCCTCTCGCTTGATTTAGCACTTTTGGCGGGAATCTTCTAAAACCGGAGCGGTCCCCTGGGTTCCACTTTTTAAGATGGAAGAAGCGTTTGCCGATGGGTGACAGACGGGCTCGAGTCTCTTGTCTGTGGCTGGAATCGTTGCATGTACCTGTTGACGATGGGAGGGCTTGTGTGTTGATGCTGGACCCCTGGACCGTTGTCGATATCTGCACTTCTATTAGATATTCGCTGTCTTTCTCGACATGAATAGAAACTCTACTTCAAAAGAAACATCAAGAGAGAAGCTGTGAAAGTGGCGATGACCACCATCGTTCGATTGCTCCATAACAATGGCCAGAGCACCGGAAAACCCGCCATCGGAGCCGATATCCGAGAGTGAATGGCCCTCGACCGGCAACGCTGCGCCGCGCCGACCTGTTCAGGGTACAGCGCCGAGATGGCGACGGTATCCCGATACTCCGTTCGGCCACACAAAAGAGACACCTACAAGAGGGCTGTCTCCGTGAACACCAAATCGCCAACAACTACATCGCCATTGTCAATGATGCGTAATTGTTGTATCCAAAGAAAAGGGAAGCACGACAACAGAAACAGATCCCCCCGCGATCCCATGTTCCTCGGACAGCACACAGCCACACAGCACACACACTCTGTCTCTTCTAATCCTCGATGTACCTCGATACATCCCGCTCCCACACGCCCGTACCTTGCGCGGGACGTGTTGCAGATCCGCCTTTCCGGGGTTCCAGGTGCCGCTAGAATTGCGCTCGAAGGAACGCAGTGCCACACACCACACCGCACAAACGCCAGCCATCGTCAAGCCAGTACTGACTTTCTACCAAGACGTAAAGTGACTTGGGCCCTGACATTCACCACCCCCCGGACCCGTCACAGTCACAGAAAGGCTTCCTTCCTTCGCTGTGAAGTTGCTTTTAGCATCCGCCCTCCTTTTCAGCCGCCTCCCTTGCCCGTCGGAGATGCCTCGCCGTTGGCAGCGCCCGACAGAGCGGCACACTTTCACAGCGGCCCGAGGCAAGCCAGCAGGCAAAAATATACTAGCAAAACACTCTGCTGCTGGGGGTCTGGCTTGAGGGATCATCCGTCCGTGTATCCGCCCTCTAGGACATTCTTGTCAGAGACCTGCTTCGGCTTCTCTTGCTTCCCCAAGATCCCGCCGAGCTCATTCGCCGCATACTCTTTCCCTGCTTCGGGCCCCAGAACGCCCAGGGAATATCAGACGCAAGAAAGCAAGCAAGCAGGCGGCCTTCCTTACTACCATCGTCAGTGCGTCCCTTGACAATGCCCAGGCGTGTAATAGCCACTGCTGCATGGTAAATGCACTGCATCATGAGCCAAGTCTTTCCCGCCTTCAGGTAGCATTCGCCGAGCGCCATCACAGTCGCAAGTACAGCAGCATGCAACTCTTGGCCTTCCTTCAGACCTTCCTCAGCGCTTGGCCTTGAACCCCCTTTCTTGCGCGTCTCTCTTTTCAGGGTATTAGCGGTTGTGGATTTTCCTCTGATAATCTGCGCGTCGATGATGGGGCTCATCTGTGGCATCTGTTGCCGGCCTCGCCCAGTTCCTTTTGCTCTGCTTCCCCACACGCAGAGGCCGCGCAATAACGTGCTCCAGGCCCCTGTCACGATCCAAGCGCCACGAACCTCGCCCATAGTTGCATTTCTGCTCTTCCAACGCAATTGACGCTCGCTTGGTGCTGCTTCCGAGAGGAAGAGAGCAAAAAACAATGGACGCCAAGTTGGATGATCATCAGAAATCGGTCGGCTCCTGTTGCGCATTTCGTTTCCGCGTGGGGCGCTCAGCTGGCTGAGGTTCACTCACCCATCCACACTTGATGTATCGTGTTTTGTACCTTGCCTGAAAGTGCCCATTCATTACGCCAGCAGGACAAAACAATATACCCGGTCAGTAGCTTATTTGGCCCGGAAGAACGACGGCTGCCCACAACACGAAGAGTGCCTCCACTTCTCCCTCCCAATCATGCCACAGACGTCTCCTCCCCGTGCCATTATCTCCCCGCCAGTCCTCCCCCCGTAAGCCGTCGTCGTGCTCCAGGCCCCGGCCGCTCCGCCGCCGCTCGGCGCGGTTTGATCGTCACGGTTCCCGGTAACGGGCACACGCGGTCTGTCGTCAATGTTTGTTCCTCGTCCCCCCTCCCTCACTTCTGCCGGGTGGAGGGGCACGTTGGTTCGATCGCCCAAAAAGCAAAGCGAACAAAACCGGCAATTGTTAACTCTCGCTTCTTACTTTTAGTCAGAAGTGTTTCTGGAACGTCCACACTCTGGTAACTATAGCCCATATATGACAAGGTTCCCGCGACAGGATTAGCAAGCCCGAGCGAGAGGAAAGGTCAAGCAGAAGGCAAATGTAAAATGCAGACGGCTCGGCCGATGAGGCAGGATCGT